TTTCTAAATCATAGCTTCCAGTGGTAGTGCTCAGCCACAACTGGGTATCAAAACCACCAGGTAGGGTTTAAAAACAAAATAGATTTCAACTTCACAACTGACTAAAGCATCAACAACCATGGCTGGGTTGGAGGCACCTGTGCTTGACCCAAAGGATAAAACACAAAGCCACAGGTGAGCTGCCTGGCCAGGGGTGAGGATACAGACAATCATTCTCAGCTCAGGAAAGTGGTCAAGGAGACAGAAGGTTTGTAACAGGGTGGACCCTAGGAAAAGGAGAAGTTCCAGGTTCCCTGCCCCACCCAGAAGGAGGGTGGAGCTGAGCAGAGAAAAAGGAGAGAAGAGAGAAGGAGAGAATGAAGCAGCATGGAGAGCCAGGAAACCTGAGGAAGCCACATGGAGCAGCAAGCATGTGATGAAGAAACTGTGCTTGTTTCCTGACCGCAGATCGGTTAAGGCAGATGTGGGTGAGATACCTGTAGGGAGGTGACTCTGGCAGTGTTTATATTGATTTTGATTTTGCTCTTTTCCTCCCAGATTTGCCTGGCCATTTCTGACCCTTTTCCATGGGTCCCGGCCAGAAGGTGCTTTAGTCTTGTGGCAGCTTTCAGGCCTTGCTTTGGGCCAATCCCTTTTGGGTGGACTTTTGCCCACGAGGGGATGGGCCACTTCAGGTGTTTGATTTAGAAGTTATATTCTTTGTGTTCTGTATTGTATATTACTGTACTAAAGTCCCTTTTCATTAAAGCTTTATATGTTTTGTCTTGTTGCGGCGGGTGGCAGAACCCACTTAGAGCAGGCAGGATTTTGGGGGCTTCAGGGGTTTCTCCCTCTCCCCCTGTCCTCTAACAGAATTGGGGTGCCCTATAACAGATTTTGTCCTATAACAGGTTAAGATTTCATGGCATTCCTGTGAAATGGGAAGAAAGGACCAGAAGGGCTCCCATGACTTGGAGGGAGAAAGACACAGCCTTGTTTAGACAGTTTCATAGTCACCACAACTATAACTGCAAAGGAGTTGCAAAGACATTGACTTACCAGAGTTACACAATGGCACACATTTTCTGGGGTTTAGCTTCACTTCTCTCTGCCATGTCCCCGCCTCACATTCTAGTTCACCCCTCCCCCCCTGAAACCAGGTTTGTCAAGAGTAGTTGTTTTGTTGTGATTTTGTTACTTTATTTCACTTAGCATACTCACCTTAAATCCCAGCCCCATTTGTGCAAAAGGCAAGAATTCCTCTTTATGTAGCCAAGTATCCCCACAGGGCATCTGGACAACTCCCTCATGCTCACAGCCAGGCCACTGAGGTGGTCTTCAGCCCTGGCTGTTGTGCACAGTGGTTTTGTTTGGTAGCTTCACAATTTATGGTGTTTTCACGTTCTTGAGATAAACACCTCAGAGAGGCTCTGCTGGGGCATGTGGCATTTCCATTTATAGTTAAAGGACTTGTTTTCCTTCAGGGCTGCTCTTACCCCCCCCCTTGCCCCCCCCTCCCCAGCAGCAAGGGCTGGAGAGCCCCCTCCAGCACCCCAGCACCGCCCTTTGCTGCTGTCTGACGCTCAGTTGTGAGGTGATAGTTCCTTGTGGTTGTGACTTGCAGTGACCGAAGCGTGTGACCTCTGCTGTCGCTGTGCCACAGGAGGGGGGTGATTCTCAAAATGCACGGAATCAAACAAAAAACACTGGCTTTCTTGGAATAATACTCATTTAAAGTTATATTTTAGAGTAAACCGTCTTCAGCCTATACTGGCTACTGCAACACATCCAGAAACTTTATGAAATCTTTCTGGAAGAATATAAATTATTAAAGCACAACAGATAGGCACCTTTATTACATACCATCTTCAAATATTTTCAAAAGTTACAACACGTATTAGTTGACCATTAAGCTTTTAAAGTCCCCTGACAAAATAATCAGCTAAAACTTGGCAAAATGAGATGTCCGTCCGCGGAAGTGATCAGGATTTCCCGCTCTCCCGCCATTAGCATCAATGATGCACGCCTGTGGTCTCACACGCGGGGCTGATGGCGGCACCCGGCGGAGGTGTGGGCTGTGTGTGAACGTGGGGGCCTGTGAGCCTGCAGGCTGAGCATAAAAGGCAGGCAGCGGGGCGGGGCGGAGCGGAGCGGCAGCAGAGGATCTGCCGCGGAGTGCAGGAGAGACAAGTGGAGACTACGAGAAAACGCTGGAAAGAGTGAAGACTTATCGAGGGCTGGACAGCCTATCTCCTGAACGCAGGCCCCCAGCCTGGCTGCCTCACTACAGCAGGTTCATTAAAAAAGAAAGTTCATTAAAAGCCTGCAAAAGGGCCCTCCCTGGTGGCCTAGCGGGTTAAAGCACAGCACTAAGAAGTTAAAGCCACTTCTGCATGAGTTCGATCCCCGCCTGCCCCAGAGGTGACCACATGGCGTGGCAGACCTCTCCTGACCCGCCCGCTGCTCCCCTCAGCAGTGCACTTCGTCGATCTGCCTGTTCTGCTCCCCATTCTGTCTCTGGTGAGTCCTCTCACTGCCCCTACACCTCTGGCCTGTATCCCAGTTCTGTATGCATTATAAAACAACAACAACAACAACAACAACAAAAAACCTGAAAAAGGCACTGAGGCTTCCAGGACTCTCCTTTACTCATCTGCCAGGGTCTATAGAGAACCTGTTCCGTGCCTTGCTAGCAAGCACTTCACTGTCCCAGAGATCAGTCCCCAGCACATTTATCAAATTACAATTTAAGATTCTAAACTACGAGATCCAGCCATGTGGGCAGGGAAGGGCCTAGTGAAGACAGCTGCATTAGGTTGCCAACTACCCTTTCTGAGGAAAGGACTTATTTCAAAATGGCAACTGCTGTGTCATCCCCGGCCCCCACCCCCTCTTTGGGCTGTATCAGAAATCGTCTAGAAAGCCCTACCCTAACGCTCCTCTTGCTGCCCACCGCAGTTCTCTCTCTCTCCACTAGATGGCAGTAGCACACCATCGCAGCCCTACAGGATCAGAAATTAAGGCGACCAAGTCACAGCTCCCCTGGAGGCCAGGTTTTTCTAAGTCCAAGTTAATGGGGAACAAAAAACAGAGATAAGAACAAATAAGTGATTCTAAAAAGATCATAAAGCCAAAGTAGTGGTGGTTATGCTGAGTAGGCAAGAGACAGCTAACGAAGGGGAGCCATCTCTGAGAAAGGTTTCAAAGAAATTCTAACTACTAAAAGAATGCGGAAAAGGGAAATGACATCAGAGTATCTTGGGTCCCTGCCTCCCAGAATGAAGAAAAATGGGGCATTAACGTTTGACTAAAAAAGGGGGGATTTTAATAGAACAGAAAGGCTATCCTCACCTAAAAAGCGACTGCACAATTTCTCAGACTCAACTATTCTCCTGAATTATTAAGATTTAGCCTGGTGGCTCAAAGGGCTGAGTCTCAGCACTATTAAGCTATCAGCGGGCACTGCAGTGTGAGTTCGATTCCCAGCCAGGGAGCTGACCCACATGCAGCAGACCTCTCCAGTTTCACCTGTTGCTTCCCCTCAGCAGTGTATTTCAGTCAATCTGCCTGTTCTGCTCCCCACTCTGTCTCTGGTGAATCCTTTCACTTCTGGCATCTCTGGTCTGCACCCCAGCTCTTGTAAGCATAAATAAATCTTTAAAAAATATTTTGTCAGTAACAATGGCTATAGGGTAATATTATGATTGAAATAAATTCAATGAACAAATTATTTAGCACAATTGCCCCATCTCAAAACTTCTGGCTGTCCCTGTAGATTACACCCCCCCCATCCCAGGGCAGAGGCAATAAATGAATAACAATTCAGCAACAGACAGAGCCTAAACAGCAACAGAATAAAGGCTCTTTTCATGTTTCTTAAGAAAGTACTTTGGATGACTTAAAAGGACACTTCTGTCGCCCACAGAGAGTAGGTATGTTCATGTTTACCTTTTCAGGCACATTAACATTTCTCCTCTCATTTATTCCTATTCACTTAAATACACATAACTCCACTGGTTGAAATCCATCCTGACAGAAATCGCCATGATTATCAAAGCAAGTGGAAATAACTGTTTACCTCTGTTCTTATAGATCTGAAACTCATCAAGTAACTAGAGCATAGCATTTTTTTTTAAAGGAGGTGCGATCAAGGAGACAGAACACATGCAGGAGATGCAGTGGGTGCTACATTCAAGGCAAGGGAGAAAAGATTTGCTAGAAGAACTCATTATTTTCTCCAGAAAAAAAAATCAGAAAATATTCTAGAGGCAAAATTAATGATAAAGGAAGAAGCCAACAGGAAAGACCTGTGTGGAAACAAAATGACAAAAAGCTGGAGCACCAGGGCTCAGGGAGGAAACATGTCGCAGGGTTTCAGGTCGCAGCTCGAGAGAGGCTTAACAAGGAAGCCATTAGGGCTACCCTGCTGCGCATAATTGTTTCTATAACATATGCTACTTTGTGCCACAGCCCAGCTGTGAATTCCCTGGCTTTTGTCAGCTTGTGTCACAACCTTAAGAAGAAAATAGTTGCTTAATCCCTCTCCCCTCCTAATTCACTCTATTTCTTCTCCATCTAAGTTTGTGTACGACGGTGAAGTAACAGGACTGTACATAACCTCCACCACTCCTCCACTTACCCTAGGGTAAAGAAAACAGCCTGTCAGAAAAACACTACAGAGAAAGCACAATACCTGGCATGTGTCAGACAATAAATACTGTGTATCATCAGATCTACTTTCAAAACGTTATTTCATTATACAGCACAGTTGCTGGGTATGGGCCAAAAATCATTTAGTGCACCGAGAAAAATTTTATAAGGCTTTTAGCATTTATTAGAATAAGGATAATTGCTATATTTCCTATGCAGAACAGGGTAAGTAAAAAATAAGGTTTCGTCTCTACAATATTGAACTAAAAATAAGTTTAACACAATGAATTATTTGTATATGGAAGGCAATAAATATTTATTGAATGGAATTGGAATAATAGGTGCTAAGTTTTAAAAATCTGCACTAAAGATATAGCACATGAACCAGTACACATTAAATAAGTTCAATCAGTACTTAAACAGAACACTCTTTAGTAATAAAATCATTGAGACTCAGTGAGAAGTTGCTTCTTCCTCTCAATTTTTTTAAATCAAAGGTCATAAAACCCTTCGGTTAAGACCTCAACTAAATAAAAAAGCAAATGTTTATTAACGGCTAAATTATAACAGTAAAATGATAACTAATAATATAAAGGTATACTGGCTTTAAAAAAATCAATCAAATCAAGATTCTTTGTGTAGGTAAAAGAAGCTACAAAAGTTTACATTTCATTGCTGACAACACACCTGCATCCAGACCAGTTTGAGAACCAAATTCCAAACGGTGACTAGAAACACCGCTGCTGGGCTGACTGGCGCCCCTCACGGAGAGGCTTCTCGCAGCACGCCATTCCCAAGTTCTGTCTTTTTGTTTTTTTCACAGTAAGAAAATTGGCAATATAAGTTCACAATAAGTCATAAAGATAATACTATGAATATTAATTTAATATCTTAAGCAAAAGTAGTTAGAGAAAACCTCAAAATTGTTAAAAATATTTTTATACAGTGGGAACCCGCCTGCTCTGTAGAACATGAGAGACCCTGCAGACTTCAGTGACCCAGTTCACACCACCAGATCTACCTCCCTATCTATCTATACACACACACACACCTTTTAATTTACTCTAAAAGTACAAAGCAAATTTCATTTGAGGGACAGAAATGAAAAATGTTTCCATACCAACTAAAACTAAAGATGAAACAAAGGATGTCTGAATTTCTGTATAGTTATCCAATAAGGAAACAGTTTTTATCAGTATCGAGCTTTGCAGATTTTCAGATTTTTTAAAAGTCAGAAATGAAATGTGTTATGTATTTTATCCTATAACTCAGAGTTATAATAATAATAATGCCAATATCAATTATATGGGTGATTCTTAAATCAGGGGTACTTCATTCCTATTTATGTTCTTTTACTGATTTGCTGAAAAATGATGAAAAAGTTTCTGGAGATTCAGAAAATACAAACTTCCTTAGAAGGCTGATGGACAAAACATTCCTTTTGTCAGACGTTAAGTTAGGAATTTCATGGACTTTGGTGCTGAATTAGGACCTTAAAAGGTGTTCACTGCTCTTTATTTCCTACTGCTCATCCTTTTCCCCAGAAAGGGGTCCACTATCAAATGCTCTTCTGGCCCACATCATCATTTTTGTCATCTTCTTTAAAAGTCATTGCTTGGGGTGGCTTATTTGAAGACCAGAGACTCCAGATCAAAGATGAGCACATTTCTAGACAACCTAATTTTCCTGAGCTCCTGACTTACCTGTCCTGAGGGTCACACCTTCAAGAGCCCACTCTTCTCCAAAGAGTGAAGGCAACGGGGATATCATGGTTTCTTATCGTAGCAAAGAGGAAACAGGTGAGTAACCGGGTATCATGCAGTGGATTCTAGGTCAAAGACTTCTGACTTGTAAATGAAGTCTCTCACTTCCTACCAATTATTCTGGTGCAGTCCAGCCTTGTCCTGAGCTGCTGGTTGGGTGCTGATGTCCTCTCTTAGGTGTGAGAGGCATGACCGGGGGTTCAGTGGCTGAACCTTAGTGCAGCTTGCTGTGCACAGGGTAGAGCAAGGTCATGTGTTCTGCCCCCTTGAAGGGCAGCTTTTCGTTGGAGTAGTAGTGTACCACTTCAGGGATGCTGTCAAACACAGCGCTGGGCTGGTTCAGTGTGTACTTGTTGTCTTTGGTCTGAGCCACAATGATGTGGACACATCCTTGACTAGTTCTGGAACAAGACAAAAATTAAGGAGACATGAATGAGCCAGGTCACAGTGGACAGAGTCCCATCCATTCCTGGAAATAAGAGTTATAAACAAACAGAAATCAACTCTGCACTCCGCTAGAGCACTCAGGAACTTCATAGCCCTCGATCATAGGTGACTTGCTTGTCCTTTAATATACAGAAGCCATCAGGCACTGGACTGAAAAGGAAAAAAAATTGCCAAGTCCTGCCTGTGCCCCTAAGTACCAAAACCAAGCCCGAGTGTGAAACCACTAAGGGCGGGTTTAAGTTCACTCTCTTCATCATGGCTGAAGGGACATGGTCTTTCCTCCCCAAAGAACACATTAACAATAATAATAAAAAAATGTTTCCTCCCCTCCACCCCATCTGGAAAGACGGTTCCTGGTTGTATATAATGACAGCTGGCACTGAGGGCTCAAAGATCTAATCCATGAGCACCAGTTTCAGGAGCACAGCAAAGCTATTCCTGGTATTGTGTGTCTGGTGGCCTATCCTGGTTCTGAGCCCTGTTGCTCTGACACTCCCCCCGCAACCTCTTTTCCCCTCCAGCGTGATTGTTTCAGCTGCAGGGGCTCAGCTTCCTCAGGAAGGAAATGCTGTTAGAGCTCTTGACAATGATCCTCCAATATAGCACCATTGAACTCACAGCCCAATGAGAATTTCCATGATACAAGATCCACCCGGCCTGATGATCAAGACTGCGTTTCTGTGTGCACTTGGAAGAAGGCAGTGTCTGTGTACACTTGCACAGGGGAAGAAGAGCGAGTTGGTGTTCCTTCTTTGCCAGAAGAAAGTGGTATCAAAAACACAGCTGGCATTTTGACAATTAAGGGGTCTGATTTATTAAAGTGCTAAACACTAGGAAGTAAAGGAACAACTGAAGTGTTGTTAGAAATTATCCTTTTTGGACTGATCACAAAAATATACGGAGAACTGGTTAAACTCAACAAAAATAAACAACCCCATCAAAAAATGGGCAGAAGAGATAAAAAGACACTTCTCCCAAGAGGAAATGCAGATGGCCAACAAGCATATGAAAAAGTGTTCAACATCACTCGCAATAAGGGAGATGCAAATTAAAACCACAATGAGATACCACCTCACCCCAGTGAGAATGGCACATCTTCAAACAACTAGCAACAACAAATGTTGGCGAGGATGTGGAGAAAAAGGAACTCTCCTGCACTGCTGGTGGGAATGCAAACTAGTACAACCACTATGGAAAACTGTTTGGAGGTTTCTCAAACTGCTAAACATGGAGCTTCCCTACGACCCAGCAATCCCACTCCTAGGTACCTACCCAAAAGACACAAAAACACTGATTGAAAAAGATACTTGCACCCCCATGTTTATTGCTGCTTTATTTACAATTGGAAAAACATGGAAGCAGCCCAAATGCCCAAAAGTAGATGACTGGATTAGAAAGATGTGGTACATATATACAATGGAATATTACTCAGCAACCAAAAAGAGAAACACATGTCTTTTGCAGCAACTTGGATGGAGCTGGAAAAGATCATGCTCAGTGAGATAAGCCAGAAAGAGAAAGAAAAATACCGGATGGTTTCGCTCATAGCAAGAGTATAATGGAGCAGGTGAGAAAATAACAAAAATAATGAACAACCATATACCAGAGATATTTTGTGGAGGTGGAGTGGGGAATGGGATCAAAAACGGGGGGGTGGGGAGGGAAGTGCACGGGATTATGGTGGTGGCACACGGGTGACTTGGTGATGGGAAGCCCGCGGGGATTACAATTGAGATTGGAAAAAAAAAATGTACAAAATGATGTAAAAATAAATTATTATAAAAAATTACCCTTTTTATGAGGACCTGTTTCTCTGCCTACTTTCCTTGAGATCAGATAATAGTATAGTGGGAGCTGACTAAAGTACAGTGATAACAAAACAGGACACTCAGCAACCTTTCACGAGGTCACACCCCAAGAAGACACCCTGCTTCAGAGAGTAGAGGCGACAGGGAATGGTGTTCCATGGTGCATTCACCCAACACGACTCTGCATTCTGCCGAGAGCATTTCATGTGCAAGCCAGTGCATCCTGGTTTCTCTGATCACCCGCCCTGGCCAGCCACCCAGGACAGAGGCGCCTCCCACTGCACGTAGCCAGGCGGTCCCGGGAGGCTTCAACACTTACTTGAGTGCAATGGAGTACCTGCTGTTCCCCGACTCACTATTTCTAACCAGGTAACCGGCTTCTTTGCAAGGCTGCAGTCGACTCTCCGCCTCAGCACGGGTGATGGCACCATGGTACCAACTAAAAAGGGAGGGGAGATATTGGTATCAAAATAGGAACCAGACAGCACATCCTTCCATAAAGTATTATTTAAAATGGGCTTCCTGGCCCTCCCTGGTGGCTCAGCGGGTTAAAGCACTGCACTAAGAAGCTTAAGCTGCTTCCGCATGAGTTCGATCCCCGCCTGCCCCAGAGGTGACCACATGACGTGGCAGACCTCTCCTGACCCGCCCGCTGCTCCCCTCAGCAGTGTACTTCGTCGATCTGCCTGTTCTGCTCCCCACTCTGTCCCTGGTGAATTCTCTCACCCTCCGCATCTCTGGCCTGTACCCCAGTTCTGTATGAATAAATAAATAAATCTTTAAAAAAAAATAATAAAATGGGCTTCCTGGAAACTCAGCAGCCTGAATCCCTCCCATTCAGATCAGACAAGGAGCAGATTTGGGGAGTCTTGGATCACAAAGCCTATCAGCATGCAAGAGTGAGCTTGAGGTGCTGGCGTCACCTCAGGCTCTCCCTCTGCCCAAGAGAATGGACTCAGGCTCTGCTTCGGGGGATGCAGTGCCCTTTCCATCCTGCACAACTGCATGAGGCTTCAAAAGGAGTTTCCATGAATCAGCGCCACACAGACAAGTATCAAAAGTGATCATGTCAAGTGGGCCAGGGTGCCCTCCCTGCCAAGACTATCAAGAAGCCTCATCTGTGGCAAGTGTCTGTGGGAGACTCACGGCTGCTTTTCCAGGGGCAGGGCCGGGTCCACTCTCTCCCCATCAGCATGGTCAGCAAGCGCTGGCTTCAAGATCTTCTGGGTCCAGCTCTTCTGCCGGTGGTGCTGCCTCACCGTCTCCTCCTTGATGGCAGGACGCTCAGTGCCTTCAAACTGAACTGGAAGGAAGGCTCCATTTAACCTCAGAGGTCTCCCGGGGACAGGTGCAAACCCCCCTTGCCACCCAGCTTGGGAAGGCAGCCTCCCCTCCTTGACGCACAGCACCCCGGGGGAGCCCTGTCTCCGCTGTCTCTGCCATCTGATCACGCTGCATCCATATGCGTGCACGTCTCTGTAAGATGTTCACCGGTGTAAAAGTAGTTTTAAGATATAAGAGGAAACCACTTTAATATATTTTAGCATGTACTTCAAAACACTCTTAGTAGCAGCATATTTAGAATGACAAAAGGATAAACATAGTCAGGCAATAATTCCTTGCAATAGAGGGTATCATCCTGTGAAACCAATGGCCAGTTTTTACTATGAAATAATAAAGTCAACTCAGAGGCAGACTCTGCTGAATAGTGCCTTCAAGATGCTGGGACACCTAGGCTGGACAGAGGAAAGGAGCTAAAATGAGTCGTGTTTAGGGAATAAAGGAGAATGGAAAGAGAAAAAGAAGGTAAAATGAACAAGCCCTTGGCACAAGTACTGAGAAAGCAGAAGGTACCCAGTAGGTTTGGAAAAAACTAAAGTGGACTCAGAACTTTGCATCTGTTACTTTCTCTATTCATCCTTCTAGTGGCAAACTTGGCTTCACTGTTAGAGGGCAAAAATTTCCTAAATTTTAAATCAAAGGCAAAGCCAAGTAGAAAAACCATGCTTGGGACAAGCAAGGGAGTTTACCAGTAACATCTAGTGACAACCTTCTACCAACTCGTTCCTCAGTCATTTTAAAAATTCACACTTGAAGAACTGTTTCCTTTACTAGGATTTTCGAGGGAAAAATAAAGAGAAAAGCTAGTTTCATCCAGCTTTCCAACCACCTCTACCTGTAATCCATTCGATCCAGTACTGCCATTTCATAAATAGGGGCTTTAATAGGTTTGAGGAGTAGCACCAAATAAGAATTAGAAAAAGCTGCTCCCAATTTCATAGCTTCGGGGTGATCGGATAAGCTTTTCAATAGTCATTTAAGGCATTTCCAAAACAGTTGCACACTGTGAAGAGAAAGAAAAGTAAAGGTGTGCAGAGGATAAAAATAAATGCCCGTGAACAGCTCAACAGCCAAATTCGTATTTCCCCACATCAAATTCCTTGAAAAAGACGTGAGGCTGAGGAACATGGAGAAAATAGCCCTGGCTGAAAAGCTGGGCGGGCCGGGAGCCGGGGGCATCTCAGCGGGGCAGCGGGAGGGCAGCTGTGGGCCTGCCCAGCCCTCACCTGACAGAGCTCGCACAATCTGCTCCTTTTTCCACTCCCAGGGCTGCTCATACTCGGCCGCTGGCCGCTCATCATTCTCAGGCAGTCGGCTGTGTCCCTCGGGGGGCCAGGCCTTCCCCTCGGCCCTGGGGCCTCCCTCTGCTGGCTCATAGGGTGTGTCATACAGCTGGGGGGGCTTCCCCAGCAGGTCCTTGGAACTCCGTCTCTTGGCCAGTGTGTCTGACTTCATGCCATTCTCCCCTGACTCGCAGGGACCGTCGAGCAGCTGGAGGGCCTTCACCAAGGGGTCTTTGGAACCTCGCCGCCGGATCTCTGAAAGACAAACACCATGTGAATGACTGAGAGAAAAGGCGCCATGAAGGGCCAGTAATGAACCCTGTCAGCCTTCACCTCTGACTAAGGGTCTGGAGGAAGGCGGCCCAGATGGCTTCTTGAGGACAGTGTTGCAAAGAGTTCTCAAGAGATCGGGGTCTTCAACTTCTTCCGTTCAGTTTCCGGAGCCAGATAATGGGGTCAAGTCATAGGCCAAGGATTCCCATCTGGAGACAGGCATGCTTCTGGCGGCCACTTGCACAATTTGAGTAGAGAAGCGGCCGCCAGGCAACCTGCTCCAGGTTCCAGTCCCGATGGCTGCTCTGAGATTAGCTCCGCTTGGAAGATTTTCCACCTTGTCGCGAAGCTAAGAATATTTCAAAAAAGAGGACCTACGTTTTTACCTTATTGAGAGCATTAGTCAATATGTGCTGAGGGGAGACATTCACGTGCATCAGACAGAGTCCTTGACTTTTAGGGGGCTTCAATACAACTGGGAAGCCAGACAGATTCCCCAGTAATATGTTACAGGTTTGATAACTACAGGACAAATCAAAGTAAAACTAACTCAACAACTGACACCCAGTTATGGTGTACTCTGTGCCAAGTGCCAAGCACCTCTGAGATGGTCTGAACCACAGGGCAAGTGAAGCACTATTATCTTCTTGGTACCACAGAAGAGCAAACAGAAGCACAGATTTGAAGGAAATGGCGCAAACCTGGAGTTTGGATTCAAGAGGAGGAAGCTGAGCTCGACACCCACACTCTCCCCATGCCACTTGGTGGCTCCATGTGGAGGAGAAATGGAAGTGGCTGACTTTGATAGACAAGGTCATTTCCAGCAGAGGAAGTTCATGAGCCAAGATATGGAGGAGGGAGCGTCAAGGGCTTGCTTCCATGGGGGGGGGGGGCGCTGAGAAGTTCAAAGACAGACAACTAGCAGAGGAGAGGGAGTGGGGACAGCAGCTGGAACAGCGGAGGGCAGGCAGCAAGCACAGACATTCCAGAAGCAAAGGTAAGAAACTTAGATTGCTCTGCGTGCTCGGAGAAACTTTGAAGTGTTTGAACAGGTAATACTGACCATAGCGTATGGATGGGGTAAGTCAGACAACAGGTATGGTCTGCATCGAAGCACAGAAATGGATGTAAATCCACCAGCCTCGGCTGCCAGCCAGCCAGCCAGCCACAGCGGGAAGCAACCGGCAGTGTCTGGGGACTGACCGTTTTTGGGTCCAGGGGCTGCGGCTGGTGGAGTCAAAACACCCAGAGCTGGTCATACACAGAGTATCACGCTGTGCTTCTTCTAAATGCCCGTTAGGGCGCCCTCAATCCATTCACCTGGTCAGGCCCAGGGGACCTTTCCAAGCACAAGCATCTCATCTCATCATTTGAAACCTCCTAAGCTCTCAGCTGTGCACTAGGAACGTTCAAACTGCTCAACACGGCGTGAAGAGCCTCCTACAACCATCTCCCAGCAAACACCACCCTGCTCCTGCCCCGACACCACCATCCGATTCTTTTCTCCAACCAAATGGTACAAGTTCCTTGTGCATGCAGTGTCCCCGTGATCTTTGAAGCCTTTGACACCTAACCCGGTTCTCTCCTGTCCATCTTCTCTCAACGCCCCCCATCTGCCAGGCTCACTGCTGTGCCCACCCCCTTTCACCATGCACTGCCTGTCCACTTTCTGTGGACTTATTTATTGATGTGTCTGTATTTCCAATTTGGTGAAGACTGTCAGGGTAAGAGCCCTCATGCTTTATCTTCGTAGGGCACAGAGTTGGGCTAGATAATGGTTGGAAGAGGGGAGGGGAGAAGGAGGAGGCATTCTGGGACTTCACTGGGCAGGTGACAATGTGGATCTGAGGCTCTGCAGAGAATGAAGGTCAGAGAAGCAAGTCAAGGAGTTACTCATAAATGGGTGGCTGTGAGGACCGAACAAATGAAGGCAACCACAGAGAACAGGAGGGCAATGGAGAAAGAATGAGGGTCAAAGGCAGAACCTGGGGCTTCTGTGGCTGCAGGGAACGGAAGAAGAGGTGCCAACAGAGACAGAGGAGAAGAGAGGGCGAGAGAGTGAAATTCACAGAAACAAAGGAAAGCAGCACCTTCCCGGTGACTTAAGCGGGCACAGTGACACCCTATGGAGACGTGACATGGACTCGGGGATTCCGCAACAAGGGTGGGACAACAAATGAAACACTCAAAGGAAAATGATTAAAATCAGGAGTCCAAACAGGTACAATTCATGGAGAGACTGGAGTTACGACTTTGCTAGACAGGGGCCCTCACTGCAGCTGGCTTCCAGTCTTTAAATTTACTGAGCTCACCTGATGCCTGGGTCCCATCACCAGGGCTCCTGATTTGATCTTAAGAGGACCTCTGGAAGTCTAATGAGAAGCTCAGCCTTAGAAGCACTTCTACACTTCTTGGGTCCCCGGTTCCCCCGGTGCAGTCCCTCCTGCTCTCCAGGGCGAGCCAGGTCAGTGCTAGTCCCAGCCCAAGGAGAAGGGTTCTCCCTGCACCTAGAACATGCACATGAGACATGAACACCTGAAGAGCCCTCCTCTGCCCCAGGACTGGAAAGCCAGGGGCTTGGGTTACACACACAGGGGGCTGGTGGCAGAGTTAACTCTCCAGTCTGAATCTCCTAACTTGTAATCCCATGCTTTTATTCAGAGCTTATTCTCAATGAAGTTCTGAAAAACAAGACGCAAGAGCACTTTGCTCTTAGTTCGGTTTAGAAATGGCTGGAATTTTAAAAAGACAAAATCCCTACAAGACCTATTTCCACATCCGGGAGAAGGGGAAGAGAAAATACAAAGGAATTCAAAAGGGGTAAAGTCAGAAATTTTAGGCTTCTGATCAGAACCTATATTCACCCTCAGTTCAGACTGGCAGAGGCTGGGGAAAGCTTTCCCAAGGTCCTGCCTCAACTGTGTCTCAGATGAACACAACAGGGCAAAAGCTGATTCCAACCTTTACATGGAAGTCCCACTCACAAGGCAATTTTGATAACGGATTAGGACCCTGAGTTCATATTACTACAAGTGGTAGAGTTTTTCTTCTGAGAGTAGGCCCTGCATGCCTCTGTTTCCGACAGCCCTTGCACCCTTGGGTTCTGGAAAGCATGCACATGAGAATGTTTCTTGTCAGGACGGTCCTGGGATCCGGCAAAACCCTCAAAGTACTATCAGGTTTTCAAACAATGTTTAATTAGGAGAAAAAAAGGGCTTGAGAGCAGGGCCCCTCCACCCTTCAAGGGGAGTAACCTTAGGGGAGTAACCTTTTAGTCCATTCCAACACCTGGCTGCCCCCAACCTGAGGCTCCATAGAAACAGAAACAATGTGGGCCTGCCAGCCGACCCTTCCTGCAGGGAGAATAGCCCCCTGACGTGCAGTGCTGGCTCCAAGAGGAAACCAGCCTGAGAAGGAGGAAATGGACAGAGGAAGCTACGCCCTGGCTCGGCCGATAGGGCCATTTACCACAGGGACAACAGAATGCAGCCGTGGGTGCAGATAAACAGCCGCCCACAGCAGGGCTGACCTGCACCAGTTAAAGGTGTGACTGGGCGTGAAACCAGTCCCCGCACTGGCTGTAGGTAAGTATGCCCAGGTATGTGAAAACCTAGCCGATGATGCCGACTTTCTTGTACTAAATTAATAAGAGTTAGCAACTGATACTCTTCCACACTTGTCCAGAACTCTCCTTGAAAATGTATTTCTAGCTCGAGAGTATCTACATCATGGCTATGTTTATTGGATGATGCTATGTTATACCAGCATCTCTTGAAGCCTCGTAAAGCAATGAGGCGATAAGTTATCCTGTTTCACAGGTGAGTCAACTGAGGCCTGGCAGAATGCCGAACTCAGATCCACACTATCAAACTACGCATTATCACACCCTCCCCAAAGACGGCTTGTAAAATGCTGACGGCAATTTCTATGATGCACCTTTCCTCTCCAATCCATTTCACAACACTACATTCGGTCTTACAAGGCTCTTCTTTCCCTCTTAGAGTCAGAAATAGGGCTATTAGGTTGCTTTAAGCACTTTATCAGTGTTGAAGCTTTTGATTTAAATTTACTTAATTTTTAAATTATTTTTAAAATTTACTAAAATGTCCCCTGCCAATCTAGGTAGAATGTTCCCTTATCAGATAAATTTATATAACTGAATAAAAGCAGATAGAGTTCACAGCCCTAGACAAGTACTTACTTTTTTTTTCACAGTAGATCAGTATTTAAACAGAGACCCAAATGATGTGTTTGTCCTTTAGATTTTGACTATTTACACAAACCAACAAAACTATTTGGCAGCAAAAATCAGATTCTGAAAACCATCGGAGTCTGGAACTCAGGACTAAAACCAAAGGCAGGGCCTGACCTGTCGGCTGCACACCCACCCCCACGTGGGAGCTTTCTGAACCTTGTTTCCCTCCACCCTAAACGAGACTTCTAGCAGCACCCAACCCTTTGCAAGGCTCCTGAGCTCTCAACCTGAACCGCCCCCGCAGGGAAGTGTTCGCAGGCCCCATGGACTGCGGTGGCTAAAATGTACCCTGCCAACCCAGGCAGACTGCTCCCGCTCATTTGGCGAAAGTGTTCTCATTTAACAGACAACCGAGGCTGATGCTGCTATTGCCTTGTATTCAGTCGTATGTTTTTATGAACAATACTTCAGATAATTCTAGGTGAAAAGATATTGGTATGTTCATAAATTCTTAACTTTAAAAAGTTAAATGCAAAGTTTTGGTGGCAGTGATGGTGGAGGGCAGATAGATCCAGGGAACTGGGGTCCTAGATATTTAGCCACCAGAGTAAGAACAGCCTCTTAACTTCTGTTTCTTCCTTTGTTCCCTGATGAAGATGGTGGCTCTGCTACCTGGTGGCACTCACCACACTTTCAAGGTACACATTTTCTTCCCTGTTGGTGTCAGGTCCACAGAGATGTGGCCCATGTCCCTTGTATGCCGAGCCCGGCACAGGACTGTTACGTGGTAAGTAAATGCCTAAGAAATAGTGCAGCATGCTATGAAATAATATCATGAGCAGTGATTTTTGCACTCCAGATATTGTTAGAGCCGGAGGTGCCATCCCTTCACTTGCACTGAAACAGCCATACTTGGGGAGAAAGATCAGTACGGGGTGGACTCACTGCTAGGTGGAATATGGAGACATTAAACAAAGGATCACGGGGATCACGGAAAGACAAACTTGAAACCTGACTATAGATCTAAGGTATCCAGGAGGGAGGAAGCAGGCAGAGTGGGGTGGGGGTGGGGGGCAACATGGGTGTGGGAGGCAGGACTGTGGGTGCTTTGGTGGTGGGAGACCTGTGGGGACCACACTGAGTGGAGAAATGCTATGCTGTGAAAAATAAGAATATAAAATAATGACATGTCATAAAAGTAAAACGGTCATACAGCGTTCTACAGTTAAATCATATTCTTTACTATTTTTCACATCTGCACAATGCTGAAGCAAATTAAAATACAATAGCTAACATTTCTCAAGAAATATGAGACATTTCTGAACTTGGTTTTTACAACCAAGCAAAAAAAAAAAAAACCAACCCAGTAGCAAATCTTTTATTTCCAGCTTCCGATAAACTCACTTCCTGTTATTTTGTCCAGCTGTGTAACCTATGTGCGTATATTCTCTACACTGATTGAGTGCTCTGTGATATGTATTTTTCAATGTAGCAACTTTAAACATCACCAATATAAAAATTTTTTGCAGAGCAAAGAAAAAATCTGAAACTTTTAAAAGTTAGCAATTTAACTTAATACATTTGCATTTATTCTTTCACAGAATATATTAATTTTATATTCTTAAATAAATTTATTCACATGAATGGCTGTAAACCAGCCTGGAATTTAATAAATACTCCAATATTAAATGCTACCCACCACCACTATTCTATTTATATCACTGAGCTAATTGTAACTTTCAAATGCAACTTTGTGAGTCTGGGTGGAAAGATGCCTTACTGGTGCGGAAACTAATGTGCTTTCGCATACATCACTTCTAATGTGTCCTGAGAACATGGTGAAGCTGACTGCCCACTCTGCTGAGGGACAGATCTAGATTTTAATTTCTTCTGGCTCTAAAAAGGTCTGTGAGCATAGGGAAGTCAGAATCTCTTTGGTCTTGATGTTAACTGCATAACAAGGGGAGATAAAGCAGTGGCATGTCTAGGGATACAGAATTCTATGGGAATTATATGGAAAAAATAAAGATATATTCATTTTTTAAAAGCATAGCACTTTCCTCTTATCAGTGTGACTCCAGAAATAAACATCTGAGATGTTTAAAGAGAATGAAAGGAATAAAAACGAAAGGGCAAAGAAATAGAAATCAAAATGGAATTTTTTTGTTTTAGAAAACCTTCCTCAACTGGATGTAAAAGTAAAACTTTCCCCTTATTCCTTTCAAGTCTCCGATATTTTTAAAAATTCTGACTAAGTTCATTTTCACTTCCTTTCATTCACAGATTTCATGAGAGGTCACAGTCCAGTGACCTTCAGGGTCACAGCCTGGCCAGGGTACACCCTCCCCAATGCAGGCCTTATCTCTGTAAGCAGAGAAGCAGGAAACAGAGCAATGCTTTCCTGTTGCAGCTCCATTTCATTCTAAAGCCTGTCTCGACCCTCCCAGGGTGCTGCCCTGCTCCACTCTTCTGAGGTTAGGCTTCTGGAGCCTCAGTTGCCAGGCTCTCAATCTGTTTTTACACAGGAGAAACAAGGCCTTTCATGTATGATCAGTGGTCGCTTTCCCAGGCACGAAACCCAGGACGCTCCAGCAAGGCCCCAGGGAATCAACGTTCAGCTTTTTTCATATGAATCCAAAAAGGTTTAAGGAAAATTAGGCGAATGAATAACTCACTCTAAAATTCATAAGTAAATAATTTAAACTAGTTTTTTAGAAGTTCCATTTATACCAACTTAAGAGAATTATGAATAAAAAGGAAAGTTTGACCCTTAAAGTGACAGTGATTGCTTAGCTCAGAAGTTGGAACTCTTTGACATGAAGTTACAGGATTAGATGATCATGTTTTTAGGAGGTTTGCCTAGAACGGCCAGAGATCAGTACTCATTCCCTGGTAATTGAATGTTTTGCTCTAATGTTGTGGAGCTTGTTGAGAAATCAGTCTGCTTCAACACAGGGTCACGTCACGTTTGCATCTCTTACAACTTAAAATCCTTCCAATGTGTCCCTTGGTATAGATTTATGACTCTCATTACGAATGTCCAAGGTTTGCAAGTGGCCAAGAAATGTATATAAATCATCTTCAAAGGGAAGATCTCACATGCACACAAGTGAAGACCACATTCTGGCCAGATCTGTAAGCATCCATGTGTCACCTAGCATAGAATTCAGAACACTTACATGACCCATACACATTTTAAAATGAAAACATAAAAAACCATTAAAGAAGTTAACCAGCTACTTTGACCTTGTTTGGGGTCTAGTTTCTTTCTTTCAGTCAGTAGGATCTGGTTAAACCACTTCATCCCTCCTCCTGAAATACTTTTTTTTAACCACACCAAGCAGATGTGGGATTTCCACCCCTGTGAAGCAGCCCCTGGTGCAAACCTGTTATCATTTGTTGGGCATCATAGGGCTCCATGTAACCATCATTCTCTCCCACTCTCTCTGCATCCCGTTGACCTTTTGTCCGTTTCGCATCGTAAGGGTCAGCATAGTCTTCCAGGATGATGACCTATGAGAAAGCCAGAGAGGAGAGTGTTGCTAAAGGCTATCATATGCCAAAATGGCAAAGGTAGCAAAATGTCTACTGAAGACCTCCTGCACGTCTGAGGTCAAACTGCTAACCAGTTCTAGCTAGCCTTTGTGCTTGATCCTGTTCTTCATCCAGTTGAACAGACAGTGATTTGGTAGTATAACTAACTAGCCACAGTTCATCTAAACAAATACTGATCCCCAAGGTTCAGCTGACCTCTCCTCATCTCCCCATGCAAAAACAAATAAAACACTTGCTGGCTTAAAGGATGGCAAGGTTGGAAGTGGGCAGTGGAGAGTCTGTCTTTAAAGTATAAAAAGATGACCTTCCCTATGACTTTTTTTTTAAAGATTTATTTATTCGTACAGAACTGGGGTACAGGCCAGAGATGCGGAGGGTGAGAGGATTCACCAGGGACAGAGTGGGGAGCAGAACAGGTAGATGGACCAAGTACACTGCTGAAGGGAACAGCGGGCGGGTCAGGAGAGGTCTGCCGCGCCATGTGGATCTCCTCCAGGGCAGGCGGGGATCAAACTCATGCAGAAGTGGCTTAAGCTTCTTAGTGCAGTTCTTTACCCCGCTGTGCCACCAGGGAGGGTCTCCCTATGACTTTTTAATGCCAACTAGGGCAGCAAGATAGCCATGTAAGCCAGGCAACCACCCAGTGGCCTCTGAACATCTACCAGTTCTGGCCAGGCATTGTGAAGGAGTCCAAATAAACACAAGAACTGTTTCCTGTCCTCAAGGAATGTATTTAACAGCTTCATAATAAGAAGCCTACGAAAAAGCACTAAACAGTATTGTTGGAGTTCCAGGTTCAATAATTCATGGCATTATGATTCTCATATCATATCAGATACTTTGATAGATCTTTGTGAAAGAAAGCATCCATTGTTCCAAAAATAGAAAGGTGGTGTATGCACAATGGTTCTGTTTTATAGCAGTGGGGGGATAAAGCAGGTTTAGGGGACCCTTCTCAGGGAGGAGGTCCCTGGTCCTGTTCCACATGATTACATTCTCCAAGGAGTTCCTGGCGAAGTACCACTGAGCTGGCGGCAAGACCTCAGATCAGCAGGGAGAAGTGAGGAGAGAAGGCCTGGGAGAGCTGGCTGACGCAGCTCACACACCTGGAGGGGCCCCCGCAAACAAGCAGACTGCACAGGGTGGCAAACACCACCCTTTGCCCCTCCCGACTGCCTACTATGATGTGCATGACAGTACCCCAATGTACAATGATGGTGCTTACGATGTGTCGTGACCCGCTGACTGATAACTGCTGGCCCCTGCCATCCACAGCTCTCACCCAGTGCCTGCCCAGGGGAGTTGCACTGTAAGTAGGTGGGGAAAGAATGGAGGAAAGAACAGAAGGGCCCAACACAGACACACATGGCTTGTGTATGGGTTCTGGACTTGATCCAGGGAGGCAGCACGTTTGAAGCCTGGGCAAGACAAAATTAAAGTTCCTACGTCAGGATACAACTCCAGGGCAGGAGACTGGACACCCCCTGTGAGCGCTTTTCACACTGTGGATTCAAAACAAAACCAAATCCTAACTCTTTTTTGTAAGAATGAAGCGCGTCTCCACACATGGTCACACTCTTCTTACTAGCTACCTCAAGTTGGACAGCACCCAGAAGACCTCCGGTGTGTAAGAAGCAGGAAACACCTTCTTCTCTCCAGATCTGTAATTTCCGTAAGGGCATTTCCTTGTCCTCCCCCATTCCGCCCCCAATCTCTAGACTCTTGTGCCCCTACATGGCTACTACACAGCAAATGTTCATGGAATGAATGGAAGGGCTGTAATCTTGGGGTGCAAATGAAACTCTGAGAATTCCCTTGCAGGTAGAATTTCAAACACAGTAGAGAAGGAGGGCAAGTGGGCACAGAAATCCACTCTTGCAGTTTAGAGGTTACTGTTTTTTATATTCAAGAAGCATATATGCTATACCCATGTCTAGCTTTGCCAGCTCCTTGGCTGCCAAAATTCAGCCACATCTACAAAGATTTAATAAACCAGCAATATCTCATTCAACTACTCCTCAAAACTATAAACAAAATTAAACGAATAGTACATTTCCGCAAAACTCCCCACCTCTAAAAATGAAGATTTTTTACCACCAGAAGGGAAAAAAACCCTAATGATGTTAAAGCATCACTTAGGAGTCACCAAATGTTGGGGGTGGGGGTCACACAGCCTCACCTTCTCTAGATAAAGAGACCGGGGGTTGAACAGGCTGGCTACGCTCCCCTCCACCGTGCGGTTTCTGCAGGGGACTGCTGACCCAGGGGCTGCCCTCTTACCGTGTCCTGCTGCTTAATCACCTTGCCCTTGTCCAGCTCAGGGCCCAGGGAGGACGGGGAAGAAGATGCCGAGGAGCAGCTGCTGCTGCTGCTGCTGCTACCGCTGCTGCTGCTGTTACTGCTGCTGCTGCTGTTGCTGGGGTAATTGTTCTTCCCGTTCTTCTCCTGCGTGTCCACCTTGATGAGCCTGTTGATGTAGGTGCTGCAGCCCGAGATCTTGGCTGCGCCCCGGTGGGGCTCCTCCTCGGTCGCCCGGGAGTTCTTGCGTCCCTTGCCCGCGGCAGCCTGGATCAGACCCTGCAGGCTGTCCCGGGACAGCCGGCTGTCCTTGGGGGCGCCGACGCCGGCCCTGCTGCTCCCCAGCTCTGCCGCGGAGTTCTTGCGGCCCTTGCCGGGGGTGGGCCCCGCGCCGCCCGTCTCGGAGTTCTTGCGCAGTTTGCCACCTCCCCCGCCGCCGGGCTTGGCCCGCTCCGACACGGTCTTCAAGTTCAGGGGGAACTCCTTGAACCACTTGGCCGCCATGAGGGGGGCCCAGCCGGCGCGGACGAGGAGCGTCGTGGCCGCTGAGCAGGCCAGCGAGGAAGCCCAGCCCAGACACCGAGAGGCGCCAGGGGCCGGGGGCCACTGCATTCCCCGGGGCTGGGGCGCTGGAGGCCGCGGCGAGGCCCCGCGACGGCAGGGTGGAGTCCCACGGCCCGGGGCGGGGGGCCCGGGGCGCCGAGCAGGCGGGCAATGGCCGCCGCTCCGGACACGAGCGGCGACAGGCACGACACACCGGGCCCCGCCCGGGCTCGTCTTCAGCGCCTGCCGGGCCCGGGGACGCGGCGGCTCTCCGGGGCGCCGGAGGACTCCCCCCTGCCTTTTCCTCCTGAGGTGGGAGAGGCCGGGCTCACGGAAGCCCCCGGACAGCCCTGCCCACACTCCCCGGGATGAGAGGGACGGCGCGGCGGCGGCGGCGGCGGCGGCGGCAGTGTCCTGGCGGCGCCGCGACGGACGGTGGACAGACGGCGGGTGCACACCCTTCGGCGCGCCCCTCCCCTCCGCCGCTGGCGCCTCCCAGCCCCGCCACCTCCCGCCCTGCTCCGGGGGCGACGGGATCAGCAGCTCGGCGGGGGCGGGTCCGCGGGGGCTCTGGAGAGCTGCGGGTCTGCTGACCCGCAGCTCCGCTGAGTTTGGAGCCCGCCGATTCCCCCGCTACCCCCGGCGGGCCTCGGTCGGGCGCTGCCTTCAAACGCGCCCAGGGCGCGACACGTGCACCTCTCCCATCCACTGAAGGCGCCCCACGGATCCGCCTGGTTCAGTCACTCCACTCTGCGCAAAAATTATTTTTGGGGCGTGGCGTGGTTAGGGACAGGGTATGTAGGGGGTGCGGATATGTAGGGGGTGCATACTACGAGTGGGCGCGGACATAGCGGTCACCCGCCCCCAGGATCCTTTTCCCTGAGCGCCGCGGGGAGCCTCGAGGACCTGACTCTTCTAGCGCCG